CGTAGTTCTGTGTGTCTCCGTACCCCTCCCTCCGTCTGTCCCTCGGTCTCCTGGGTCTCTCCTCCTCCCCCCCCCCCGGCTCTGTGCCTGTCACTGCCTCCGTCTCCGTCACTCTCTCCCCTCTCAGCGTCTGTGTCCTGGGCCTTTAGCCACCAGGTGATCCACGTTACTTCTCAAACAGAAAAAGGAAAACAGGTTGGGGGCAGGGCACATGGGGGAGTTTTTTCTGGAACAAATGAGCCCTCAGGAAGGTGCCCCAGCCAGCTCGCAGGTCCTCACTGGCATCTGTCCCCATCAGGGTCAGTCTTGACTCTGGACTGCCTGAGGATGTCCTTCTGACCTGGACATGACCTTGGACTCCAGGTACCAGCCCCTTGGTCCTAGTCCAGCCAGATACTAGGACAAGGATGACAGCTGCAATAATAGTATCCCCGCCGCTAATGCCCTTGTGTGGCACCAGAGGTGGGCAGCAGAGGACGCCACTGGGCACACAGGTGTTTCAGAGCCCCGAGCAGCGGTGACCCCAGAGACAGGCCACTTGCCTCAGCTGTTTCTGCAACTGCAAAGCAGGGGTGACCCCAGCACCTCCCGACAGCTGTGTGGACGATGCACCCCGAGAAGCTGCCATGGGCAGGAACCCCCACACCGCTCTGGGTCCCCGTGAGACCTGAGACCACAGTGGACACAGCTGTCCCAGGCTCGGCGTTTGGTGATGGGGCAGGTGGTCCACCCAGGAGGCGCCCCTGCTGTGGTTTGCAATGTCCCTACCCCCTTCCTCTTTCCATTATAAATCAGGGTGGGGTCCAGGCTCTGGCTGCCACCCCTGCTGTCCTCTGTCTCCAGCCCCAGGGCCTTTGCACCAGCCTGCCTCCCCCACACCCTCCTCCCCCCTCGGCATTGACCACTCCCACCCAACATTCAGGTTTCAAGTGCAGTCCTGAGCCTCCTGACTCGGCCCCCAGGAGCACCTACCAGTTCTGTGGTCGACTTCCGCCAGAACCGCGACTTCCGCCAGAATTGGGGGCAAGGGCCGGACCCCTTCTGTCTGGTTGCCTTCAGGACCCAGGGTGCTAACCAAAGGTCACCTGCTGCCTTGCATCACAGTGGCCCCCAGAGGTTCACCTGCCTTCACACCCAGGTATCTCGGCGCAGGCATCCCACTTGGACCACGTCTCCATTCATACACACAAGTGCACAGGGACACGCGTGTGCGTGCACACTCACAACGTGCACACACATGCACAACACTCACACCCACATCCATGGCATGCATGTGCACACGCTCCCACGCACGCAGGCTCCCCGAGTGGCCACAAGCACCCGGGCCCTCGTGCCCACTGCAGACCCCGCATGCGCTGTGCGCAGACGCACGTGCCGCTCCGCCCCGCGGGTCTGTCTGTTGTTTGCCGCCTCTGCCTGCCAGTGCTTGCCAAGCGGTTCCCATGGAGACACACGTGGGCTCTCCCAGGCACAGAAGAGAGCCGGGAAGACGGTTTCCAGAGAGAAACCAGACAGACGTGGCCATGCCCCGGAGGCATGGGGCCTTCCATGAGCTGGGGACCCCCTGCACCCTCAACTGGGGGATCTGGGACCCTGCCTCTGGCCCCCTGGCACTCACTCATCAACGGTTCCGTGAGAGCCACAGCCGAGTTCCGAGAGGCTCACAGCTGTGTCCTGAGCCCCACTAGGGCCCCACAAGGGCCAGCCTCCCACCTTCTCGCAGGTTGGGTTCACAAGGCTGGGGCGCTGGGCCCCCCCTGGGGTAGAGCAATTGCAAAGTGACCTCAGCCGCCCACCCACCCCATGTCATCTACATCCTCTGCCTTGTGACTGTAACTCCAAACAAGTGGGAGGGAGTCCCACGCACAACCGAGATACGTTTTAAATCACCAACAGAAACAATCTCAGCAAAACAACAGACTGGTACACAAGGGAGAGGCTGCCAGGGTGCGCAGGAGCTCTGGGAAGACCCATCGAATGAGACCAAAAGGTCACACCGACTGCACAGCAAAGATGAGAAGGCACGGGGCCCAGGGAGACTAGAGCTCTGGCAACAGGACAACCAGAACGCAGTTAGAGAATGCCGAGAAAGTGACACCGTGGAGCAATGTGTGTGGAAACTGTCCGTGGGAACTTGAGTCGCCGTGTAGTTTTCATCACACACACACACACACTAAAATAGTCTAAGAAAATAAACAGTGGGGAGCAGTCCCTGACGCCCCCAAGTCCTGAGTCCTGGCTGTGGAGTCACTTGTCACGCAGCGATGGCTAACCGACACCCCCCTCTCCAGGGCCGTGCTCACCAGCGGCCCAACCCCATGCAGCTTGCACATGAAGTTCCCCAGCCCCCAGGGCTTCTGAGAGCCAGGCCAGAGTCAGGGTCTCTGGGTCCTGCCCACCGCCAAGGCCGTGGCCCACCAAGGGAGCTGAGAATAGAGCTTGTGGGAGGCTCCTCTTCAGAGACCACGGCAAAACCACAAAAAACCAAACCCGTAGCCGTCAGGTTAACTCCAACGCCTGGCGACCCCGTGTACGGAGTGGAACGGCCCCAGGGTTCTGGGGGCTGTGATCTTTATGGAAGTCGACTGCCCGGCCGTTCTCTTTGCAGTGCCACCAGACCACTTAGCTTTAGGTGAACAGTCAAGTACAAACCACTGCCGACGCAATTATGGATGTGCCAAATTCAAACCTGCCAGGTTTGGGGTTTTTATTTTTTAAAATCCCATGTATGCAATGTTTCAAGGAATCCTAGTGGTACAGTAGCTAAAGTGCTAGACCGTCAACCAATAGATCAGCAGTTCAAACCCACCCAGGGGTCTGTGGGATGAAGACTTGGCAGTCTGTTTCCACAACGACGACAGCCTACGAAACCTTATGGGGCAGTTCTACTCTGTCCCCTAGGGGCGCTGTGAGCCAGGATCAACTGGAAGGCAACTGATTGGGTTTTATTTTTTTAATATTATGTTTCTTTATTTTTACTTTTTGGTGTTTTTTTTTTTTTTAAAGAGGGTGGTTAAGGAGTTTTGTGTTTTTTTTTCTCACTGGTTTGCAACTTACATTGCTGAATTGGCTCCAACTCACAGTGACTTTAGGGACAACGGACGCAATGTCACCTGGTCCGACCTCAGCTCTATGACTGCTGGCCCGTCTGAGCCCATGGTCACGGCCACTGTCTCCCCGTCTCATGCAGGGCTTCCCTCTTCACCGACCCTCGCTTTACCAACCATGACATCCTTTTCTGGATGACGTGTCTGAGGAAAGCAAGACGAAATTCTACTCAAAGCCCCCAGAAGGACCCAACGTGGCCAAGACCCTGAATTCAGACTCCAGGACTGAGAGAATGCACTTCCGTTTTTACAAAGAGTCTCAGTGGTGCAGTGCAAACCAAAAGGTAGGCAGTTCGAACCCGCCAGCTGCTCCGTGGAACAAGGATGAGGCAGTGGGCTTTGGAAACCCTGTGGGGCAGTTCTCCTCTGTCCTCTAGGGGCACTGCGAGTCGGCATCGACTCCATAGCAGTGGGCGGGGTTTGCTTTATAAGCCACGCGCTTTGTGGTCTCCTTACAGCAGCCCCAGGCCCCTAAGACAGGCCTCGCGAGCAATGTTTGTTGAGTGACTAAAGTGAGTAACTTGGTGCAGGGTGGTAGCTACCAGGGCGGGGTGCTATCTGCAGCCCCACCAGGAGCAGCTCCTGCCCTGTAGGGAGCCGAGCCTGCCCTGGGGACCCCGTCTCCAGTGGGGGCCCTCCCTCCGGCTTCCCCGTCCCTGTGCGCCTGCTCTTCCTGGTGGCTGTGAGGTGGCTCCTGTACCACAGGCAGGTCTGCATGGTCATGGGACAAACCCTGACAACAGGTCAGGCCCCAGTTCAGGAAGGAGGGTGTGGACGGGGGAGGCTGAGCCGCGACACACGACGCCCTCACACACGGACCTGCCCCTGCAAGGTTCCCGCTGAAGCGCAGCGAGGCTGCCACTTTGACGCGTGGCAGGGCCCTGCAGGCCTTTACGGGTTCTCCCTTCCCTCCGTCAGCAGCGCGATAAAGCCAGCTCCTGCCCAGAAAGGACACTGCCAGGCCGCGTGCCGGGGGCTTCAGGACACCAGGGTGTGTCCTCTCAGGAGGCAGATGGCGTGACGTCATCTGACAGGAAGGCAGCGTGGGCCTGCTGGTGCCGAGCTTGGCTCGTGGTGGCTGCGCCTGAACCCCCAGCCCGGCCTGGGTCACACCCTCCAGCCCCCGCCATGCTCAGGTCAGCAGAGACCGCGGCTTTGAACGGTGACGAGCTGTGGCTGCTGGGAGCTGCCGCGGAGTAAGCTCCAGTACAGCAGTCCCTGGCTCAGGGCGGCCCCGCGCACGAGGGAATGAAACGCTGCCTGCGCCAGGCCCAGCCCAGCCGTGGACTGGACTGCTGGGGCCCAGAACTGTCAGGGGCTCGTCTCAGATGTCGGCCGCAGGCCTCCCCTCCTTGTCCGTCTGCCAGGGAGCTCTGCTGAAACGCGGTCAGCACCACAGCAACATGCCGGCCTCCACCATGACGAGGGTGGTGGCCACGAGGCGCGCTGGCCAGGGACTGAACCCGGCTCTCCCGTGTGCGAGGCGCAGGTTCTGCGGCGACCCACCACTGCCTCACTGTGGGCTGGCAGTAACACCGGGGACTTTACCGCCTGGGGACCCGGACGTCAGCTGGGGCTGAAACGGGGCTGTGTATTGCTGGGCACGAGGCCCCTCCCTGCTCTGGGACATGGAGGGGGTGGACATTCCGTGTGGAGGCACTGCCACGGGCCCCCCACAACTGTCGGGGCGAGATCCCGCCGCTGACACGGCTCCAAATCCTCAGGCCGAGTCTCACCCGTCTCGCGACTGAGAGCTATCAAACACCATTCATTTCAGTAGAAAATAAGCCACTTCTGAAAGGGGGGTTTCCGCCTGCTGCTCGGGGAGCCCCAGCTGCGCCCCTGGTGGCCGGGCCGGCTGAGGGCCGGGCGCTTGTCCTCAGGGCCACCGCCTCAGTAGCAGTCTGCCTCGTGGTCATCCAGGGCAGCCGCGGTGGCCAGCATGTCCTGCAGGAGGGACTGTGGGCTCTGCTCCACGTGGTCGCTGCTCTCGGCCAGCGTGGCCTGCAGCCCCTCGAGGTCCAGCATCCACAGGACAGCCACCACCACCTCAGGCCCCAGCTCACCCAGCGGCTGGCCCTGCTTGCCCTCCTGCCACGCCTGCAGGGTGGCCTCCACAGCAGCGGTGTCAGGACAGCGGCCAGCCCCCTGCAGCCTGCTGTCGGGCGCGGTCCTGGCCCTCAGCAGGAGTAGCAGGTCACAGGACTTCCGGGCCACGGGCCGGTCACAGTCGAACAAGGTATGAAAGGCAAACTCCAGGACTCGCACCCGGCCCAGCGCCCGCAGCACCTCGGCCAGCTGGACGGATGGGGCAGCCGTGGGCGGGGCCGCCGCGTAGGGACAGGCGGGTGGCCCCAGCACTTGGGCCAGGAACACTCCGGCCAGCTCGAGGCCCTGGAGGCGTACCTCCCAGTCGAGGTCCTGGCCCACCACCTGGAACACGCCGGCCATGAACCGCTCCGGGTCCTGGGCCACCTCGGCGTGGCCGTCCCGCAGCCAGGCTGTGAAGACCTGCATCACGGCCCTCCGGGGGAAGCCCTCTGAGTCCGAGGAGAGGATGTCCATGAGCTCTGGGAGCAGGTGCTTCTGGAAAACAGACAGCACAGTCAGAGGGCCCGGCCGGAGCTCACACCGGCCCCACACAAGGCCCTGCGGGAAGAAGTGGGCCCCAGGGCTGAGGCTAAACGCCGCCCCTTCACACTGCATGTCCTCAAGCAAGCGGCTCTGAGCCTCCACCTGCTTGTCTGTGGAATGGGTACAACCCCACAAACTGGCAGGGGCACAGGAGACTGAGCCACAGAATGCACCCCACATGCCCGGCAGAATTATCCCCCCCAAAATCCATGTGAAGTCCCAACCCCTGTAGCTGTGGATATTGGAGCCCTGAAGGCACTGTGGTGAAGCATTCGACCACTAACCGAAAGGTGGGCGGTTTGAACCCACAGGCCGCTCCACAAGGGACAGATGAGGCGGTCTGCCTCTGTAAAAATGTTGTTGTGTGCTGTCGAGTCGGACCCAACTCATAGCGACCCCTCCTTGGGTTTCCGAGGCGGTATCACTATGGAAGTAGACTGCCTGACCTTCCTTCCGAGGAGTGGCTGGTGGGTTTGAACCGCCAGCCTTCTGGTTAGCAGTCAAATGCCTTAGGCACTATGCTAACAGAGCTCCCCTGTAAAGATGAGAGCCTTGGAAACCACACAAGGCAGCTCTACTCTGTCCTACAGGGTCACTTTGAGTTGGAATCAACTCAGTGGGCAGTGACAGTGGATGTGGGTGTGGTTTGGGCTTTGCTTCCATAAAGATGACAACCTATGAGACCCTGTGGGGCAGTTTCCACTCTGTCCTCTAGGGGCGCTGTGGGTGGGAATCCACTCCACAGCAGTGGGTGTGGTTTGGGCTTTGGTTACATGAAGACTGACAGCCCTGGAAACCCTGTGGGCAGTTCCACCCTGTCCTCTAGGGGCGTTGTGGGTCAGAATCGACTCCACAGCAGTGGGTGTGGTTTGGGCTTTGCTTCCCGGGAGATTGACAGCCTTGGAGACCCTGTGAGCAGTTCCACTCTGTCCTCTAGGGGCGCTGTGGGTCTGAATCGACTCCACAGCAATGGGATGGGGAGTTGGGGGCAGGTAAACCTGTGAATGGAATCCAATTTGGGAGGAGTTAGTTTTCATTGCTATGTTAATGAAGCCATGCTAGTGTAGGGCTTGTCTTAACCCAATGGTTTCCAAGATATAAGGAGCAGGTTGGGCACGGAGCCAGGACAGATGGGGAAACCACGTGCCTGTGGAGACGAGGAAGAAGCTGAGAGAGAAGGCCTTTTCCCCAAAGCAGACGAGAGAACACGCCCAAGAGCCCGTGCCCTGAACTGGGGCTTCAACCCTCTCGACACGTGAGAACGTGAATTCTTGCTCTTCAAACCACCCACGTGTGGTATCAGTGACTAAGACACCTGCTCACCAAACGGTTGGGCCTGTGGGCACCACCGATGGCAACATGCTGCCGTCAGCTGTCAGCCTGCCTGGTGTCCTCGGTGGCCCTGCCTGCGGTGGGGTGGGCACTGGCGCTCTGGGCCCCTACCTGCTGGGCTCCTGGCTGCTCAGGGTGGGCAGAGCTGGCATGCAGCCCCCGGGCGGCCAGCTGCCCCATGGCAGCCACTGCGCTTGCGCGGACGTAGCCCTCGGGGTCTCGGAGAAGCTGCTTGGCGAGCTCGGGCGCGTCTGAGGCCAAGAGGGCTTGTCGGAAGCCAGGCTGTCCTGCAGCGGAGCAGCCACAGGGCGACGGAGACCCTCAGGAAGGGGCAGCCCTCAGCCTCCCCAAGCCTGGGTCCCATCTGCCCAGCAGGAACACTCACCTCCCCAGTGTGCGGTCAGGTGGGTCAGGAACTCAAGGGCTGAGTCCCGCACCTCCCAGCAGGGGCTGCAAAGACGTTTCTGCATCACGGGGAACAGCTCTGCGACACCCCCGGCCCGGCAGTCAGCGTGGTCTCCACTCCCACCCACTATCCCAGGAGCGGCAGGACTCTGCCTGCTAGCCCAACCCAGCTGTCTCCACCCCTGGGGAGGCTGGGGTACCTCCGATGAACGGCTGGCTGTGGGGGCTGGGGTCGCAGGAGCCACCGGCTTGAGACGTAGTCAGGAGCCACTGGAGAGTGGCCTGGAAAGCCTTCTTCAGGACCTGGAGTGGGTGTGGGGGGCTGTAAGGGCCAGGGGGCCCACCGTGACCACTCCCAGTCTGCCGTCACCTGGCTCCTGCCTCTGCCCTCAGGGTGCAAGATGGCGGAGGGGTGTAGGGAGAAGTGAACCCTGGATTTCATTCCCGTAAGCCGGAAGATTCTGGAAGAACTAGCACCCCAGACCATGGGAGAGAAAGGACGAGGCGGCCTTTCCCACACCTCGCTCCTGTGGGGGGTGATGGGGTCTCTGCACCCAGACATCGGGGTCACTCAAGCCACCTTTGTCTTAAAACCCAAGAATCCTCCAGTCTTCGTGCAAATCCCTCCGCTGTCTGGCTCGTGGCATGAAGCCTGGGCCCACCCAGAGCACCGAACCAGCTGTGGGTTTGTGAGAAGGGGAAGGTTGCCAAGAAATGCTTCTAGCCCCCTGGACGGCAAGGCTGGTGGAAACCAGCTGGCCACCGCTGAGTGACCCATAGCCCTCTCCCAGTGGTGCGGCGTCCACCCTTAGGCCGATGCCAGACGTGCTCATCATAGGAGTTTCCATTAGTGGCATCATGCAGTGCTGGTATCACAATGGTACCAAGCTCTCCTGCAGGCCACGGCCCAACACCTCACCTGCACACAACCTGGGGCAGCCCCCTGTGCCCCGCTCTCTGGAGAAGGGGCCCTGAGGCCCCGCCCCCTCCCCGAGGCCCCGCCCCTCCACTGCAGTCCCCGCCCTCCCCTACAGGCTCCGCCCTCCCCGCAGGCTCCGCCCCTCCCCTGTTGCACCCCTCCCCTTTACCATAGGGCTGGAATCCGGGCTCCGCAGGTACTCCAGGAGAACCGCCGACACCTTCATCACCAAGTCTGGGGACCCTACGGCAGACTCGCGGGATGAGCACCTGCCCCCACAGATCCCTCAGGGGCGGCAGGACCCAACCTTCTGAGGCTCAGGACTCAGGAAGGCTGAGACCCACCCCAGGGGCGCCCGGAGAACATGGCTCCAAACCACCCAAGGGGTGAGGATTGCCGCCCATCACGTTAGGAGAAATGACATCATACCCGTCCCCTGGGAGAGCGCCGCCAGGAAGTCGAGAGCTGCGCGCTGCACGCGGACACATCCAGCCAAGATCCCACAGAGGCGGACCCCCACGCTGGAGAGCGGCACTGCCGAACCGTTGCAGAAGCGCAACGTCGCCAAAGTGGCTTCCAGCAAGGGTGCCTGCGGCCAGGGCCGGGGGCTGTGGGACTGAGGGGAGAGAGGGCTCGGCAGGGACTGTGGCCACAAAAGTGCCACCAATGCAGCACCAGCTAAGGCACACCCACCAGTGGCTGCAGCGACCCACCCCCACCTGGGCACACCCACCAGCAGCTGCAGTTTCCACTCCCCACCCCCGCCCGGGCCACACCCACCACCCACCCACCAGCAGCCGGCCACACCCACCAGTGGCTGCAGCTCCCCCAGGTGGGCCAAACTCTGGCACAAGAGGCCGGCGCAGGAAGACGTGGAGGCCAGGAGGGTGTCCGCCATGCTGGAGCTGCCCCTAGTCCCGTCCAGCAAGTCTGGGGACAAGGGACCAGCTGCTTTAACAGCAGCACCCCCGTGGCCGCTGCGAGGCATGCCCCTGCTCTCTGAGCCCCACCGCTGTGGCCCCACGCCTCAAATCGGGCAGAGTCTTTGAGGGGGGCGCTGCCTCAGGGCAACAGGGCAAGTGGCGCCCACACTTGGGGGAACCTGTGTCCAGGCAGGAGAGATCGCCCCTGCGATGCCCTGCTGTCTTCATCGGGCAGAACCAAAGCAGAAAGTGGGGGGGGTGGGGGCACACGGCCGCCACTGTTCCCGCCACCTCCCCCGGGAGGTCTGAGCTGCAGCACCCAGCTCCTACACCCCACCCACTGTCCATCCCACGGCTCTCAGCAGCTCACCTGAAGGCCCTGGGGGCTGGGCAGCAGCTTCCAGGATGCAGGCCATCGGCTGAAGGAGGACATCAAAGGCCTGGGTTCTCAGAGCCAGGGGACTGGGGACAAGGGGCACATGATGATCTCCTGTGCCCACCCTCCCTCACGACCCCAGCAAGCCTGGGGGAACGGGCAGGGCTGGACTGCGGACACCCCTTAGGAGATGGCTGTCCTGTGGGCACAGCGACCACAAGGCGAGGACAGGCCTGGCACAAGCCAGGCCTGGTGTGACACTGGCAGCCTCAGGGGCTGTCCCTGGGGGGCTCAAGGTCACTGAGACAGGCAGGATCCACTCCGCTGTGATGGAGGGCCCCCGGAAGCCACTTCCCAGGGTGTCTCACCTCCCGTCTGGGAGGGGCTCTCCCAGGTTCTAAGAGGCTCACACCCTGGTTGTCAGGGGTGGTGTGGACTCCTCTGAGAGCCTCCGCCGAGACCCCAAAGCCAGGCCCTCTGAGGACTGGGCCCTGAGGCCACGTCCACCCTGAGCTAGGCCCAGCTCCCATCTACTAGGGCACCAGAAACACACCCCACAATCCTCCCCACTCTGCTGACCCCACCTGTCCTTCAAGGGCTGCCTCAACCAACTGGAGCTGTGGTCTTGTCCCCTTCATGGCTTCCCTGTCCCTGCGTGTACCCGTGTTTGTGAACCACAAGCGCCAGGGCTCTTTTAAGTTTCCCAGGGGCCTGTCCCTGGCCTTCTCATCCTTGGCGGCAGCTCTGCTCGTCTGTTCCCTACCTGGGAGATCCTATGGCTTTGGTTTCAAAACTTACTCCACGGCTCAAGAAAGTTTAAGGAGCCCTGTTGGCGCCATGGTTAAGCACTGGACTGCTACCTGAAAGGTCAGCTGTTCAAACCCACCCAGTGAGTCCAAGGGAGAAAAACCTGGTGGTCTGCTCCTGTAAAGATGACAGCCTAGGAAACCCTCTGGGGCCATTCTGCTGACACACATGGGGTCACCGTGAGTCTGGGTCAGTTTGGTGGTAGAAGCCAACAAGAGAATGGTTGAGATGCCACCAGTCTACGGCAAGCCCCGGCAGTAAGGTGCACGGCCTCGTCAGCACCTTGGCAGCCCCTCGTCTCAAGAGCCCTGTATCTTTCCTGAGACAGGGCTCTATGTGAGCCCTCGCCTTACCCCAGCCCGGGGCTCCACCCCAGGAGTGACTGGAGCAGACACCCAATGGCACGCCCAGGTCCATACCAGACATGGAGTTTGCAGACCCCGAGAGCCAGGGGCCCTGCCTGTGTGGGGCTCAGGCGGCTCAGAGTCCGGACCAGCATCACCCACAGGTCACAGTCCGAAGAAGCAAACACAGGAGACCTGCCGAGAAAAACCCCAAAGAAACAGCAGCCTCAAAAGCAGCCACTGTCAAGTCGCCGCCGCGTCTGGGCACCCCTACAGACGGCAGAGCAGAACCGTGCCCCACGGGGCTTCCCATGGCTGGGACCTTTCCACAGCAGAACGCCGGGCCTTTCCAAGTCGACCCTGAGTACACCTCTGCGAGAAGCAGTACTCTTGAGGGGTAGGCACCCCTCAA